ATTTCATCACTCTCTTCAAGTGTGTTTCCATCCTATTGCAGTCTTTGAGATTTTAATTCTGGCCCCATGGAGAGGTTCTTTTTTCTCAGACAAGCATCACAGGCAAATTTGCTAATACATCTCATAAGTTTACATGTAAGTCCCCCACTGAGACTCAGAGCAGAACAGGCAGAGTGCTGCGGTGTCCTCTCTCTAGACCTCTCCTGACTAAGGCTACTCCCACCAACACTCCTCGAGGACAGCATTCAGGTGAGCTACCTTTCCTATCATGCATGTTGCTTGTCTTGTGGACATTATCCAACTGCAAATCCTGCTCAGCTCAGGAAACCACTTCAGGGCTGTCATGCCTGCACAGAAATGGGGGCACACCTGCCCTCAGAGAGCTCCCACCCACTCTGGGGTGTGAAGAGGAGCATTGTGAGAAGATACCAGCCATACAAGACCAAGTATGCTCAATGCCTAGGAATGACACAAAGATATCTAATAAACACATGAATAGATCACTGAGCATTTATCCATTCAACAAACAACAACCTGATGCAGGCCTGGTCTGTGCCCTCCACTATTGTCTGTAAGCCTCACAACTACCCTGTGAGATCCACATTGTTGTCCTTGCTTGATAGAGAAAACTGAGGCTCAGGAAGTTTTAAAGAATGTGCCACGGGTCACACATCTAGTGTGCAGTACTGAGCCTTGTTGGTTCTACCTTTGAAGCCCAGGATGCCCTGGGCTGCCCCATGGCCCACTCAAGGCCCTGCCATTGGGGTTGACTCTGCCCATGAGAAATAGGCCCTGCTCTCAAGGAACAGCCTAAGAACCATACTAAGGGCAGACCCCAAGCATGCCGCCTTCAAGACCTGTGGAAAAGGAGAATGAGGCTGGCTCGGCAGGACCTCAGAGAAGGCGCTCATGCTACAGGGTGGGGCCACCAAAGCCAGATCCAGTCAAGCCATTCTGGGCTCAGGAATAACAGTGCTTCCACGTGTCCCACAGCACAGTGACCCCTGCAGGTATCACTGCAGCCTTCCTGCATGAGGATGAGGCTCTCCAGCGCCCTAGGCCCAAGGAATTCCCTCAGATTGAATCATTCTCACTTCCATTAGAACAGTAAATTTTTTTTTAATTTTTTTATTTTTATTTTTTTAAAATTTATTTACTTTTTAAATACATTTGTCTCTGCCTCCGCCCCACCACTTTCCCTTGCCCCCTCCCTCCTTCCCTCCCTCAGCTCTTCCCCTTTGGTTTTGTCCATGAGTCCTTGCTATATAGAACAGTAAATTTTGAAGAACCAAAATGATGACAATTATTCTGCCCCCTCCAGGACTAGAGACATGGAGGGCAGGCCCTGTCTTGGGTTTGGGTTTGTTTGGTGAGGATGAGACTGCTTCTCTTCCTGTCCTGAGTGGACACCAATGAGGGGTCAGCCCAGGCTACAGGTGAGGGTGTCAAACAGGCAGGCATCAGTGAGACAAGCCATCAGTCCCCATGTTGAGATGGCCAGTAGACGATGACTGTTCACAAAATTGATAGGGAGAAAAAGCAAGGACGTTCTAGCCTGCAGAAGGGGGAGCTGGGAGGTCAGGAAGTGGAGCTGAAAGGCAGTGAGGTAAGGAAGGTCAAAGGCCTGGGGAATGAAAGTTCCAGAGGTGTGGTGTGGGAGAGTTTGAGCAAGGGAGCAGGGTGCAGACTTAGTGCCAGGGACTAGCGGGTACAGGTCATGGTGGTAGGTGCTGTTGGCAGCTGGGCCCACAGTGGCTGTGGAGAAGATGGGTGAGAAGGTTATTCCCACAGTCCACCAAGAAGCACAGGCATTTCTGGAGACAGGTCTGCTCTCACAGGAAATGGGCCACCGGCAGCACGAGGCCAGGTCGACACCAGGTGGGGTTATATCATATGTCCCATGTGTCTGCCAAGCAAACCATAGTGAAAAAACAGAACCATCTGGAAGAGGACCACACAGACTGCAGAGCAAACATTCTCATCTACTTCTTAAAGATGCTTGGGTCAAGCATCATGGCCTGAACTGCATCAATGGGAAACCAGGTGAGGGAAGCCCCCCAGCACACTGCAGGACCCCAGTGGATGCCTTCCCACAAGCCTGTGTGCAGCCTGTACCACACTTCAAACCATAGCTAGAAGGGCTAGAGGAGAGCTCCTTGTAATTCAGTCCTATGAGGAGCATGAATCCAGCCACATGTACTTTTGAGTGCCAGGCTTGCCTTCAGGGAGAAATAGCATTCCAAACTGTATCATCTGCCTGAGCAGCAGCCCATAAAAAAAGCCAAGGCTCCCTTCTGGCATGCCAATCTGGCTCAGGTTCAAGCTCTGTGAAGGACCCAAGCTCCAGCCACTCCGATCTCAAATGTTCATTTGGCCTCACAGAGGATGATGGTCTCGGTTAAATTATCATCCTTCTGACCCACCCAGCTCCGCCTCAAGGCTACCTATGAGGCAAGTGTCACATGGAGCTTTTACTCCATAAGTGACTTAGAAGGTAATTGATATATAAACAGTGAAATACTCTCAGGAGATACCCACTGGGGGCTTCCTATCTTCAGTAGTTGCTGAGAAACCAAGAGTCTGTTTCAGAGCATCTCAGGCAGTGTTGTAGCTGCCACCGGGGCACCAAGGGTGCTAGTGTGGGACCAGGCACTGCAGGGGCCACAGCCCAACCTAGGAAGGGATGGCTCAAGGAGGATCCAGGTCCCTGCATGGGGCTGTTCCAGGTATGCCTGCCATTGCTCCTGGGAAAAGGGCCTGGCCCTGGAGCTTCAAGGGTCATGGTGTGTCCTCTCTGAGGAAACACATAAAGCCTGAGGAGGCTGTGCTCAAAGCACAGATGGGCCTGTGAATGGATGTGTGGGCCATGAAGGGCCACAGGGACAGAACGATGAAAGAGCCTCTTTCATATCCTGGAAGGAGGAGTATTTGAAAGGAATGTCTGCAGTGGCTTGGAAGTCAGGCACTGGGAAGGCACAGATGGCCGACTCCCTAGCTTGGCCTTGGTATGTCTGCAGAACCAGGGAAAGCCATCAGAAAGCCCAACTGTTTGGGTTCCCAGCCCTGTGCACAAGTGTTCTGCCTCCCCAACTATGCCTGAACCCCCAGGGAAGGGGGTAGCTGATAGGCCTTACTCAGCCTTCGAAGAGCGTGGGTGCCACTACCTTGGGGTTCTCTACAGGTTTTCTCCAAGCTTCTTAAATTGTAACCTAAAAAATAGTGCACAAACATTAACTGTACAATTTTATAGTTGATCCATCTGTGTAACTACTCCCAAGGCCAAGGTATCAAACATCTCCATACCTACAAGCCTCCCTCTTATCTCTTTCAGTCAGTATTCCCCCAAAGTCACCATTGCTCAAAAACTCACCGTGACCTTGCACTAGTTCTACCTGCTTTTGAACTTCCTTTGAAAAAGGTCATTCAGCAAATGCTTCTGTGTGTGACTTCTTTCAAAAATTTGTCTGTGAGAGTCATCCATGCTTTCAAGTGGAGTAATCTTTTGCTCATTTTCATTGCTGGATAGCATTCCGTTGTGTGGGCACACTATATTTAGCCATTTCACTGTTGGTGGACACTTGAATTGTTTGTACAATAGTTTGGGGGCATCATAGTAAAGTTTCTATGAACATTTCTGTATATGTCTTTGAGTAGCCCTGTAAGAGTCTGCGTGGGAAAAAATTTCCACTAGCTGAAATGTCTGAGAGGACCATTTTTTTTTTTTTTCATCTCAACTGCCCTGTAGTGGTATTCATGCATCAAGTTCTTCTATCTTAAGCAGGAGGATGGAAAAGAACACCCCTCCCCTACCCCCAGGAACTAAAGTAAATGCCCAAATAGATGCTCATATGGTGTTAGGGAAATTGTGAATCTTGCAGGTGTACCATAGAAGAATGTGTGTGTGTGTACTTATTTTTATTGTTATGGGAGAGTCTCAGATTGTCCTGGGCAGCATATCCAAAATAAATGTGAGAGGACCAGAAAATTTAGGGAAGGGGGAGGAAATAACAAAAGATGAGAATGGAAAAATAGATTAGGGCCAAACTGCAAAGGGCCTTGAATGGGATGCTAAAGCAAACGGACTTTATCCCATAAGCAATGGGAATCACCACATGTGTTCAACAAACACCTGTTGGCCCACATATACCCTCGGTAGGTATGGCAAAACTGGCTATGTCACCTTCTAAGCTGTGTGAACTGCGGTTTGTTAGTCGGGGTAGGAGGCTGAAGGGCTAAGTCTGGAGCAAGTAACCTGTGTTCAAGTCCTAGCTTTGCCTCTTATCAGGGGTTACTCCAGTGATCACAGGCTGGCACGTGTGGTCAGCTCATGAATGTACACATGCACATGCACTGACAAATGGTTCATGTGTGTGTGTACACACATGGCAATCACTTCTGAACACACAATGATGAACAGTAGTTGAAAAGTCAAGCATTCTAACACACTCTCTATTCAGCAATGAACCATAACTTACTCACTAGAAACCTAGTGCTTTATAGTTACAGAAAAGAGACAGGAAATTAATGGGCCTCAAATAAGCCTAAATCCTCTCCACTTTAGGAACTGGCAGGTGGATGAACTTGCCCAATAATGTGGAGTCCTAGGAAGACACTACCAATAGTGCAGCAGTGTTTACTTCAGCTGTATGAGCTCTGCTCCTCTGGTGTTGGGGAGACTCTCTGAGGAGAGTCTCAGAAAATGGGTGCCAACACAGCATAGGGTTCCCATAAAAACTGGGCAAAGCCCACAAGAAACCTTCCTTTGTTGCCCATGCAGTGAGACGATTTGCAGCTAGGCCTGGGACAGACCACTCAAACCTGATCACGGCAGTTCTCATTGCACCAAAGTGGTGACTAAAAATCCTGTCTCATCTTCGATTCCTGTGGAATGGCCTCTTTCTCTCTTAGAAAAGGGGGCTCCAAGATCAGGTCACACCTGGTCTGGTGAAATAAACAGCATGAGCAAAAGAGGAGGCAAGCCTTAGATAGCATAGCCTTACCTCCACATACAGGAGGGGGAAAATTCCGACCTTGTCTCCCAGCATTCCCTCAGCCCAGTTGTCATCCACTCTTCTGATCACAGTAAGGACTTCACCCTGGAGTTGCCAGAGCCCACGATGTGTATAACCACATGGACATACACACAACAAAAAAGAAAACAAGAGACCTATCAGTGCTGTTGAAGCCAGAAAAAGAGTCTAATCAATGATTCAAAGAATGATTGATTATCTACTTAGAGATCTGACATGTGAAAACAGCCAACCCTTACGTCACTCAGGATATCTTTCTTTCTCTCTTAAGTATTGACTATAGCTACAAAGATGCTCAAATGGAAAAGCATGGCAATTTACAATATACAGTATTCCCTCCTTATCCTTGGTTTTGCTTTCCAGTTTCAATTACCTATGGTCAACTACAGTCCGAAAATATTAAATGGAAAATTCCAGACATAAATAATCCATAAGATTTCAATTGCATGCCATTCTGAGTAGTACAATGAAATCTCACACCATCCTACCCAGAATGTGAATCATCACTCTGTCTACCACCGCCATACTGTAAACATTTCCTGCCCATTAGTCACTTAGTAATCATCTAGATCAATGATTTTCAACCTTTTTCATCTCATGACACACATAAACTAATCACTAAAATTGAGGCACACCAAAAAATACATTATATTTTTTGCCAATCTGACAAAAAAAAAATAGGTACAATTTTGATCGATACACACATAATAGTAATTACCTACCCTTTTTACTCTAAGACGACTTTTCAAAAAAATCAGGTGCCAGAAAAAATCAGGTAAAACACTTCTCCTCTCCCCAGACTACCACATTATTAAAGTCCTATTTACAGTGGTTCCTTTTACTTGGTATCTCATGTTCCGCTAAAAAGATTATTATACATATTAAAGGCAAAAAACACAGTTTGAAAAGACAGAACAAATACCAGAACCAGACTCACAGGGCAGTGATGTTGGAATTATCAGATAGGAATTAAAAGAAACTAATGTACTAAGTGCTCTAATTGATTAAGTAAACTGTATGCAAGAACAGAAGTGAAAAGTAAGTAAAGATGGAAATTCTAAGAAAGAACCAAAAGTAATGCTGGAGATCAAAAATATGCATAATGGAAATATTAGAAGGAAAAGGAAGAAGGAAGGGAGGGAGAGAGGGAGGGAGAGAGGGAGAGAGAAAGGAAATATCTGACACAATAATGACTGAGAATTTCCCCAAATTAATGTCAGATATCAAACCACAGATTCAGGAAGTTTAGAAAATAACAAGTAAGGTAAACACCTACACCAAGACATATTATTTTCAAAGAAAATCAAACATGAAGAAAAACACTGAAAGAGCCAGAGAGAAAAAATACCATACCTCTATAGAAACAAAGATAAAAATTACACCCAACTTCTCAGAAACCATGCAAGCAAGAAGGGAGTGGAGTAAAATATTTAAAGCATTGAGAGTGAAAAAACCCATCAACCTAGAATTCTGTACCCTTCAATAGTGAGGGTGATATAAAGACTTTCTCAAACAAAAATTGAGGGAATTTGTTGCTAGTAGGTATGTCTTGCAAGCAATGTTAAATGCTCTTTAGAGAGAAGAAAAATTATATGTCAAAAACTCAAACCTACACAAAAAAAGGGAAAAGTACTAGAGAAAGAATAAGTGAAGGTAAAATAAAAACGTTCACTTTTTTAAATCTTAATCTTCACCCAAGGATATGTTTTTATTAATTTTAGACAGAGAGGAAAGGAGAGAGGGAGTGAAACACTGATGCGAGACAGAAACATCAATCAGTTGCCTCCCATATGTGCCCCAACCAGGGATCGGATACACCACCTTTTGGTATATGGGACAGTGCTCCAACCAACTGAGCTACCGGGCCAGGGCTCATTTTTCTTCATCTTAATCTATCTAACAGATACTAGTTTCTAATAATAGCAACAATGTATCTGATTATGTTTATATATGTAAATATCATATTATGCATCACATATTATAAATATATATATTTGTGTATGTTTATATATAAATAAAATGAATCCAACAAAATATAAAAAGAATTATATATCATGACCCAGTGGGATTTTTCCCAGGTATGCAAGGCTGGTTCAATTTTAAAAAATCAATTAATGTACTCCATCACATCAACAAGCTAAAGAAAAAAAATCACACCATCCATCAATAAATGCCATAAAAACATTTGACAAAAATCCAACACCCAGTCATGATTGTAAAAAAATTCTCAGTAGGATGGGAAAAAAGATGGCGGAGGAGTGAAAGGGAGTCACGCTGACCTCCTCCCAAAACCAAACTGGAATTGCAACTAAATAATGGAGTAATCACCTGGAAAGCAGTGGAGCGATAGTGGGAGAGGAGCCTTGGTGCCGCGGACAGCGGATTCGACTCTCACACATCCCAACGGGTGAGAAGTGCGGTGGAGGCTCGAGAGGGTGGGCTGGGTGCGCACGGGCACTGGCACCAGAGGGACATTGAAACGGCCAGTTAGCGTCCCCCCGGGAAGAACGGGGTCTGAATCATAAACAGGAACCCCTAAACTACAGCCGCTAAAACCGAGAAAATACAGACAAAACACAACCCCAAAAAGCTTAGGGGCACTCTCTGCCAGAGACAAGTGGCTGGGGATGCAAAAAGACATTTAAAGGGCAAACGCAAAAGTTGCAGCGGCAGCCACCCTCCGTGATCGCTGGGTATAGGCGGCAGCAGGGTGGGCTGGTGCCTGGGAAAAGACTGGTGAGGAAAACTTTGTGAAGAGAACTGACTCTGCGGCCGGTGGAGCCCAGGTGATAACGCACTTCCCACTCTGCAGCTACCATCTCGCTCAGGCATAAGGGAATCAATTAACCTGCCTTTTGTGCGCTCCGCACGCAGCTTGTGCGCGTGTGACCTGCGGGGCTGAGTGCAGACTGTCTGGGAGAGCCTTGAGGAGAGACTGGAGACAGTGGCGTTGGGGAAAGAACGGGAGGAGGAACGGGGAGTCCCGACTCCCTCCCCGTTCGGTAGTCTCCATTGTGGGCTGGAAAGGCGCGACCCCAAAGAGGCAGAAGCGGGGCACGCATGAACCAGACTGCCTGCGATTGAAACGCAGTCCGCACAGGGGTTGGATCCTCAGCCGAAGGGGTCACAGAACTGCCCAGAGGCCCTTGAGGGGAGACTAGAAACGGAGGCATTGGGGAAAGAACGGGAGGAGGAACCGGGGAGTCCTGACTCCTTCTCCTTGCCGAAGTCTCCATTGCGCGGGAAGAGGCCACACCCCCTAGAGCCAAAAGCCGAAAAGCAAACATAGACACCCCCAAAACACCCAGAGCAGGCACGCACACTTGCGCCGAGTGACTGGCGAGGGTTGGCGAGCGTGTGTGTGACCCACGCGGGCTGGCGAACGCTTGCACCTGCCGGCAAGGCCTCACACAGACTGGCACCCATACGGCCTGCGAGGGATTGCACAGAGGGGCAAGGGCAGGCATAAATTGACCTACCCGCCGCGATTGCGGAGCAGCCCACAAAATAAGTAGAGCTGCCCAGAGTCCCTGGAGGAGAGACCAGAAACAGGATTAACCGGAGAGCTGATTTCCTCCCATTTCCGTAGTCCCCATTTGGCGAGGGCAAGCAACGCACCCAAAGAGCCAAAAGCGGGGAAAACACACAATAGAAGACTCTAAACTGACCAGTGCCGCGAAGCTCGCGTGCCAGGGAGTTCAGATGAGCACGGGAGGTCGCGAATAAGCCCCCTGGTCTGGGGCAAACACATGCGAGCCCAGGCAGGTGGGGGACCCTGCCGCGCTGGGAACGCGCTCAAGGAGCTCTCGTGAGAGCGCAGAGAGATCCCAAAAAATAGCCCAGCCCTGACCGAAGGGGTCACAGAGCTGCTCCAAGCAGGAGTCAGACACAGGCATTAGACTCCTGAAAGGCTCAAACAACCCAAGGCCCTATAGGGTCAACAACTGACATCATCAGAGGCAAGCCCAGAAAGAAAAGTAAAGGACAAAAATACTTAACAGACTCTCACAAAAATGGGAAGAAAAAGAAGTTCTCCCCAAATGAGTGGAAAAGGGGACTCCCCACAGAGAGAGCTCAATGAAATAGAGGCAAGGGAACTATCAGATATGGAATTTAAAACAATGGTTCTAAGGAAGCTCAATGAGCTCAGCCAGCTCAAAGAGAACTATGAGAAACTGCAGAGAAACTATCAGGATCTTACAGCAAACTATATCAGCCTGGAAAAGGACATAGAAACTATCAAGAAGACACAAGAGGATATGAAGAATACCATTTCTGAATTGAAGAACACAGTAGAAGGAATCCAAAGCAGGCTGGATGAAGCTGAGGATCGAATCAGTGAGATGGAGGATAAGGTAGAAAAAAGCTCCCAGAAAGAGCAAGAAATGGAAAAACGGCTCAAAAAGAATGAAGAAGCATTTAGGGAAATGCAGGACAACCTGAAACGCAATAATATCCGTATAATAGGGATACCAGAAGGAGAAGAAGAGGAGCAAGGAATAGAGAACCTCCTCGAAAAAGTAATGATGGAAAATTTCCCTAATTTGAGGAGAGAAAGGCTCTCATGGATCCAGGAGGCACAGAGGACCCCACTCAAGAGGGACCCAAGGAGGTCCACTCCAAGACACATCATCATTAAAATGGCAAATGTCAAAGACAAAGAGAGAATCCTCAAGGCAGCAAGGGAGAAGGAGAAAGTAACATACAAGGGGGCCCCGATACGCCTAGGAGCTGACTTCTCAACAGAAACACTCCAAGCCAGAAGGGAATGGCAACAAATATTCCAAGCCATGAAAAGCAAGGGCCTACAGCCAAGGCTGCTCTACCCAGCTAGGCTCTCCATTAAAATAGAAGGAGAAATACGGAGTTTCCCAGACAAAAGAAAGCTAAAAGAATACATCTCTACCAAACCAGCACTCCAAGATATGCTAAGGGGACTGGTTTAAGCAGATGAAGGAAAAGAATGAGACAGAGAGGAACACAAGTACAAAGAGAAAAGATGAGTAAGTTTCTATCAGTAATATCTCTCAATGTGAATGGACTAAATGCCCCAATCAAAAGACACA